GATGGATTCAGATAGACTTTTGGAAATTTGCATTTCGATATATAAAATACGCTTTACGCTTTTAGTCTGTTATTCATATTTTTTTTTGTATTACTTTAGATCAAGGCTCTATACATATATATATATATATTGTTTATATAAGATTTGGTTCTGCACTTCTCGCACGCATCATGTTTCTTTTTTTTTTAGTTTTTCTCTTTAACTAGGGTTGCCTGGAAGAGATCGCTTATTAGCCATAAGGCCGCCCGTTGCATCCCTTATAATTTTTATGAATTGTGTTTATTTTATTTGCAACGAAGTGTAAATAAATAAATAAAAAAATTAAATTTTTCACACAAAATAAAAAACTATAATTTAAGAAATTTGTAGCCACCACATTTCTAACAATCTCCTAGACAACTCAAATAAAAAAAATACAGGCATGTACAAGCCATGCTAAACTAATACAGATCTTAAAAATGATAAAAATTTCCATGACGGATTGATACTAAATAAATTATTTATGAAAGTTTGACCTATTCCAGCAATAGTGAGTCAGTGATCAGTTAACTGCCCAGTCATGAGTCAGCAATCGATACTTATCTTCTTAGAACACATACTTTGCATTCCAAATGCAATTAGGCTCTGGTATTATAGCTCTGTTGGACTATTATAACTATGTTCCTGGAAGTTTTAACAAAGTGATAGGTAAGTAGGTTATCAGTATTTTGTACTGACAACTAAGCTATTACCGCAAGGAATAGAACACAGGTTCTCCAGGTTATACGCCAACCAAGAAGACATGGTGATCCATCTCTGCAAGCACTGGACCCGATCTCCCCTAGCTATTCCTAAGAGCGTATGGCCCAATCTGTGAAGGATACTTGCTGTGTCAAGTATCTTCACAAATCAACAATGAGCGGGGAGAGGCGGACACAACCGCTGCATCGCATGTCGGGAAGCGGATAAGGCTCTGGTGTTACCGCATCCCGCCTAAGGCGATTGTGGGTGGCGCCTAGGGGTTTTAGTGGGTATGCACAATCGCAAGTCCCACATAACCCTCCCGCACTAACCAGTCGCTCCGCGGTATGCGCAATGTATTTCCCGAAGTAAAAAAAAAAAAGGTTTTACGCCAACCGCGTTAACTACTATGCTACAAAAGCGGCATTTTGTCATTGAAACACAAATTCATTCCTAATTTGGAAAAGAAGATAACTTTTTTTAATATAATATATTTTTGTCTTGATTTGATTGACTACTTTAAGCAAAACGGTTATTGCACACTACGCTAAGCTAACACACTACTAACTAGAGTGAAACTTAGAGCTAAGTATGAATCCCGTATGTCAAAATTGTCACCCTTAAGCGGGCCATAGACGGACCGCATGTTGCAGTCAAGACCGACTGCAATATGCGGTTTGCTCGGGAACTGCTCGAGCGGTCCGTGTATTGCGGACATGTTTTTAGTATGGAAACTGCAGATCGCCGTGCAACATGCGGTCCGTCTATGGCCCGCTTTACAGTCGAACTCAGAATCGTCAATTTGATTATGTTTATTCTTTAATTTAAATAAAGATAGTTAAATATATATAAAGAACGCAACTTAGCTACGATGAAGGAAGGTATAACACCAGTATTATACCTAGTTTTTTTTATGTTCCAGGAGGCAGACGGGCAGGAGGCTCACCTGATGTTAAGCGATACCGCCGCCCATGGAGACTCACACTGCCAGAAGACTCGCAAGCGTGCTGCTGGCCTTTTAAGAATTGGTACGCTCTTTTCTTGAAGGACCCTAAGCCCAATTGGTTCGGAAATACTTCAGTGGGCAGCTGGTTCCACATACTGGTGGTGCGTGTAGGAAATATTATTTATTATAAGTTATTTCCATATCTAAAGTATGTAAGATACCATATATCCCCATAATAACAATTTTGGACCGTACATCGAAATATGCAAACCTTTAATTACATTGAACTTTTGTAGGAACCTTTAAATTAACACTAAAACAAATTTCATTAAAACATCTGTATTATGTTAAAACACGTTATGTCGTTTCCCCATTCATTGACGTCATTTGGTGGAAACCTCGAATATGTTTCTAATCCCAACGTACGCACTTACGTTGGTTAAATGATTTTTACAATTAAATATTAAATAATTTTTTTGTTACTGAATACAGAGTTTTCTGAACTGTATCTCACATTCTTGACAAAATATTTTCTTTATTATATTATTAGCAATTCTCAATACTTGAAATAACAAAAATATCTTTTATATTAAAACAGGTGGTATGACTTTAATTTTAAATATTTACGCTAACGTGTATTTCAAGGTGAAGTTCACGACTAACGATCACGGATAACACGTTGTAAATTAGGAATTTAACTTTTTTAATAGCATTTTAGTTACATAACCATGTATATTAAAACGATAACATTTATATAACATATCATCCACGTTAGTGAACAAGATGACGTAGTTAAAAATAACTGTCACATTCACCATGTATGTTTATATTATATTATATTATTAAAATCTTTTAAATTCAACCTATTAAAAACAATTTAATAGATTTCAGATTAAATAGTGCAAGTTAAGCATTTTATTGTTCTGCATTGGCAACTACGAAACAATGAAATAATTTAAACAATATTTACTTTTAAATTTATATTTTAAGTTTAGAAACTAGGGTATCAAATAGTATGGTTTGTATGGCAGTGAGTAACTGGCGCGTTATGCAGTCGCGGCTGGGTGCGCAGTAAATATTAATTAGGATAGTCGGCGCCAACACTGGCTATTCATTTAATAGTTCATAATTTAATTGACCATGGCTCTAACTGCCTGAAAATGAATAAGCTCTCAACGTGTATAGCAAAAAGATAGAACAAAACTTTCCACATGTACTCAGAAGCTTTCAGGACAGGTATTTTAAAACAACTAACTTTAACTTTCAAAATATTAAAAATTTAGTAAAAAGTAATATTTTAGAAGCATTTGTATATTGGTAACTATAATATTGGTATGATTTTACAGTAACTTACAAGTTTTAGATAAAGAATTCCTAAGAAACAAAGCCTTTAATTCTTAGGGACCAACATTGGAAAGATAAGAACGAGAAATAGGCCAAACTAGAAGTTCTTGCTTAAATAGGGCCCACAAACTAAATACCTTGTTACTTATAAGTTTAGAGTTGCTTGAAGGTTCTAAATGATAATAAAAACCTTTTAAACTGTAATTTTATATGTACATATAACAAACTAAGCTAGGACAAACAATAAGATTGAAGAAGGAATGGAACACTGTGAGGATTGGCTTAAAGACGGATTTAATGCATTCCAAAGTAAATAAATAATGTGTTCTGGGTCTCAGGAAAGCAAAACAGTAGACAATTAAATGGGAAGACAAGCTTCCCAATACGTGGAGGAAACTGAACAGGAAGATATCAGTAAAATTAAGCTTTTTTTGATCAAACAATAAAAGATTTCTATTCATATAGAGAAAGTAGTGTCGCTGTTTTAACAGTAGTACATAGGCAAAGTAATAAAATACAAAAATATATAATCAACAAATATGAAATTAAGGGCCTTAAGCAACTTTGATGTAAAATTTATATGGTTTTTGGTTCTATCATTTTCTAATAAATAAAATATTAATAATAGACAATCACAAAAATTTTGCATTAATTTACACAAATTTTGTTTAAACTTTAAAGTCACAGAGATTGGAATCCTATACTATAAAAAGTATCTATCATTGTATTTTATAAAAGCTTGTAGGTAAGTACTTACCTAAGCCATTAAGTCCTTATCAATACAATCTGTTTTGCACTCTGACTGATAGACAAAGATAATGATAAAACAATATATGTCAAAAAGTGCACCATTTAACATTTTTATATATTTTCTTCTAATGTCCCAAAAAGAGTCAAAGTAAACTTTTATTTTTTTGTTAAAATAGATGATATAAAATAAGTCTTTGAGGTTAGTTCCATTCTAAGATCTTTAATATCAATATTTCATTTAAAAATATAAAACCATGGAAAATTTAAAAAAATTATAGGGTGGGGTTTTTTGGTATTTGGCGAATGCAGGCATGACATACGGTGAAGATAGAAGAAAATATTAAAACTTATTAATAAACATGACAGACAAAACCAAATTAAAGAGTAAATAACTTACCAATTAATTTATGTGAAAAGTGCGTTCTGTTGTAGATTTTTTTCAAAATTATGAATCCGTTGACCACAAAGAAATAACACTTGAGTATATTATAATAAAAAACTAATAAATCTAGTCACAATTGAACGACAATGGCGAACTTCGTGAAATAATCACACCACTACGAAATTCATTTTAATATGGCACATATACAAATATTTCAGCGAATTAATTTAAACACCTAACATATACAAAACAAACGTTCTTGTTTGTATGTAACTCAAACTAATATGAACGCGAAAAGTTCTAAATTCTTATCTCGCCGCGTTCGACATTCAACAAGACATGAAAAAATAGAGTTAAGCCTTGAGACTTGAGAGTTGGTTTGGAATTTGGATAAAAATTAAAAATATTGCGCACGCATCCAAATTCTGATATATCTGACTTTGATAATTGTCATTTGACAGTTGATACGTATATAGATAAATATATATGACTTAAACCAGAGGTTATATAAAAGTCCTTAGTGATTGTAGAAGAAATATTTAATTTAGTACGGAATAATTACACTTTTTTCATTTATTTACCTGCTTTCACAACTAAATTAAATATCAAACGTGTGGAAAGTAATCAACAAAAACGGCAAAATTCTATAACCTTGCTTGCTTATCACGGGCGAACTGACATCGATTATCTAGTGATTGACTTTTGACGCCTGACATGATTGTCAAATATCCATTAAATTTATCTGACGTGTTTTAAAGTGGATGCTGTTTTATTATCTTTCAAAATATTTTGCAAGTATTTTGCACAATTTGAATTTCGACTTCATTATAAAAATAAGTAAACATATTGGTATCATCAATGTCTGAAACAGAACGACAGAATTTAACGGAGCAAGATGGTGTCATGGGTGCTAGCGGCGATCAGCCTGCAAGTGAACGAGAGGCATATTTTCAGGCATTAAGATTATGGATACAACAGGCGCAAATGTATCAAAACTTATCGTCATGTTTTCCCTACTATATGATGAGTTTACAAGGCATCCAAAGCAATCAAACGAATGTTCCTTTACTTAATAATAACTACCAATTTCAAGGACAACAGTTTCCATTTCAAGTCCCGATTCCTCCGAGGGCTACCCCTGACGCCCAAGCTCCTGTTCCAACATTAAGTCCTGCTGAAGGTGTGCATTTTTTGATGTAAAATCATTTTTAACATATACTTCTTATGTAAGTAGGGGCGTGATTACAAATTCCAATAGTACATAAAGCTAAATGATCATGATGTATACAAACAATTTTGTGTGTAACAAGTTTAAGTGTTGATGTAAATTTTATTTGTATGTTTTCAGTTATTCAAAGGCATGGTGGCTATGAGTATGTTATTCCTCCACTTTATAAGAGGCTCTTAGCTGAATTTATAGATTTCATGCTGTTGTTTATTTTAAAGCTCATAGTTACCTTCATAGCTGTGGATATGTTTGACATCATGTATGTATTAGCCATGTAACATAATATGTAATAGATACCTTATATTATATTTGTAATACACAAATCAAATAATTGTGATAAATTGATTTTTAATAATAAAAAAATAAATACAACTTCTATCATATGAATGTGTACAAATAATTATTATACAAATAATAATTATATAATTTATTTCTATTGTTTCAGCGATTTAGAAAAATTTGATATAAACAAATTAAGTGAAAACTATGATGACTACAAATATGCCATGGAACTGACATCGGAAATTTTATTACTTGAAATTATTTACAGGATTATTGTTTGTTTCTTTGAGGTATATTGTTATAAACTATTAAAATTCTGTACAATCAATGGATTATAAAGGCCATTATTTTATAAAGCAAACAAATTATAAAATAACTTAACTTTTACATTATAGGCATACTGTCTGAGTGGCGGCGTTGGACGTTTGGGAGGTATGACACCAGGCAAAGGTTTACTTGGTCTTCGAGTGGTCACAGCCTCTGCAGTTGTCCTTGTAGAAGGCCGTCCGAAGGAAACAGTCCTGTTATATCCTGGTCGACCAGTAACTTTTACTGTAGCGTTGGTACGCTCACTCCTAAAAAATTTCCTCATATCTCTCTTATTTCCTCTATGTCTTATTTTGTTTGTATTCCGTTTTAACAGGACAGGGTATGACCTGTTATGTGGTGTCATAGTTGTTGAAGAAAATTTATATCCCCCAAGACGACATGCACCATAATTTTTTCAAATCTATCTAATAATTATTGCATAGGTACAAATACTACGTTCTTTATTTAAATGTAATTTAATGTGATTTTTAATTAATAAAAATGTATCTAGAAACAAAATTATCATAGGGAAACAGTTACTAGGTTTTCGTTTAAGCCGGTTGCAGACCAAAAACTAAGCTATGCCAAGCAAGCTAGGCTTAGCTAAGCTAGAAATAAATAGCGTGCACACCAACAGCTAAGCCAAAGCTCAGTCAGTGTTGTGTAGTTCAATTAGACAGACGTTGCTCGCCATGATTGTTTAACAGTTTCAATAAATTGCTCCATAATCGCTACTAAACGATCGTGCGTACAACAAAGAGCACTGGCGAAGGATGTGCAAAGTGCGGGGTAGCGGGAGGAGCTTAGCTTAGCTCGTGTACCTGCGCATCGGCATACACAACTAACTTAGCTTTGCATTATTTTAGTTAGCTCACATAGCTTAGTTCGCATAGTTTGCGGTCTGCACACAAGTATGGAAAACTGCGTCAGCTATGCGAGCTCAGCGAAACTAACTTTGCTTAGCTCTTGGTCTGCAACCCGTATTAGTAACAGAATATTAAAATAAAATAGATATTGCTATTTGCTACATAAAACTCAACTGTAGGCTGCATAAAATTTACCATTATGAAGCTTGCAATTAAAAATGCTACTAAAGGTAGTTTTGGTTTTTGGAATTAATCTATTTTATTTGAATTTGTATATATCCTGATTCTTATATTAATATTCAGATATTTGCAATGACTCTTCCAAGAGGACTATAAATAAGACCAAAGATGCCATCATTTATTATAATATTCAGGGTTTTCTTATGATTTTTATTGGTACCTTATACTAAGCTCAGTCAGGAAATATTATTTATCCATAAGCCTTGTGTTTTGGCTGTATAAAGTAATAAAATTAAGGTATAAAGAATATAATGTGTGATAGTGATAAATCCTAGTTGTAGTTGTGCCATTAAAATGCTACACACATGCCAATGAATGTAATTTTAAATAATCACTTAATTTCTAAATCAATTGGTGAACAACATCAAGGATTGGGGTATTTCTTCTAATCACATAATATGAACAGAAATGATTCATCAAAAACTAAATAATGCACATGAAATTTAAATTTTGTATTTATACTTGTGCTATTGTTTTACACTTTTTTTGTAAATAAATTTTTATTTCATGAAATTAATGTTTTGAAGCCTTTCAATGTTTATGACTTTACATTTACATCTCCAAGTCGTCTGCTAGAATTACCAAATTTATTCCGACGTTATTTTGGATACTTCAGAGGTTCATTTTTTGTTTTAAAACAATGGGTTTTAGTTGAACGACGTTTATCCTATGCTAAAATCTTTATCTTTTCTGTTATTTAAATATGTTCTTGATAAAAATAAAGTAAACACTTAACTTTACCAATAAACATACAAAACAATCTTTTTTTTAAATATTAAATAGGAAACAGACCGATTGAAACAATCAATATTTATTCAACTCTGAATTCAAAATTCAAATAGATTGCAAATGCCAAATGCTTACGAAATACGAATATTAAATATAAAATAACATTTAAAATTAAAATGTCAAATGTCATTAGTGACGTTGCGATTATAATCGGATTCATGGATTTGGTTCTTTAGGCACTGTAACACTGGTAACATTATTGCATACTTTTACAAAAAAACTTAAATATTTTTACAAATAAAATTTAATTTTTTTTGTCAACACCGAAATAAATTTTATTTAATGGAAGTAACTTTCTTCTGAATAAAATAATTGCTGAGTTGGCTCTTGCGTAGAACGTCGTAGAATGTACTGACTACTGACATTCAGTCTGTCGTAACGTGGCGGCGCTGCGCTCGTGTGCCGCAGGAGTGGCCTGCTGTCAGTTTAAGTAGTTTTCTGTGATAAGAAATACTGTGAAATTATAGTTTAGTTTAATAATTAAATAAAATATATCACGATGTCGGCGTCTGGTGAATTCGGTAACCCTTTACGCAAGTTTAAATTGGTCTTTCTTGGAGAACAGAGTGGTAAGTGGAGGCAATTGACTACATAGTCGTACATTTTTAATACATAGTTTTTGAATTTACGACACTTAAATTCGCATAGACTTTATCGTGTTTCTGACCTATATATGAAAGATTTATGACAAAATAATAAAATATGGTTAGAAACGATATCTTACTCTTAATATATTAAGTAGGTTACATTCGTTGGAGTTCTAGAGGATTAAGGAATTCATATTTCTGCTCTCGTTACTTGTTGGATTGTATTGTATTAAGTGTAATTAGAAAGTGATTTTAACAAAGTGTCGTGTTGTTTTTCAGTGGGAAAAACGTCTTTGATCACAAGGTTCATGTATGATAGTTTCGACAACACATACCAGGTGAGTCATGGTTATTTATCAATTAATTATGTTTCTGAATAAATTTACTCTAATATTTTGCTTAATTCCATTGATATTAATACCAATAAGACTATTTTAAATACAAACAACAAATGCATATATGATGAGAAAGAAAGAAAAAACAATATATTTTAAAAAGTTTAGTGAGTTTGTTCTTTTTATGTAAGTTAGTTTAAAAAAATCTGCTGGCCAAATACAGTGTGTACACATATGTCAATAGAAGTTGTTTATTTTAGAATGAATGGTGTACATACATACTTAGATATACAAAAATGTTATTGATGAAACATTGACTTCTGATATTTTTTATTATTTTAGGCAACAATTGGGATAGACTTCCTATCAAAAACAATGTATTTGGAAGATCGCACAGTTCGCCTGCAATTATGGGATACAGCAGGACAAGAGAGATTCCGTTCACTCATTCCTTCATATATAAGAGATTCGACTGTGGCTGTTGTTGTTTATGATATTACAAGTAAGTTTAAATTTTCTATTATTAATCATGTCACATATCAAATATGTTACTCATTCAATTAAGTTTTATCTAAGCTGAACTTTTTTTTTTAAATATGTATTAACTTTGTGTATTAGTTCACTTATACAAACAGTTTAAAAATACAACATAGGCAATATAGAAAAGTTCTAGAGAAGGTTAATTAGAATGTTAATTACATGAATGTAAAGGGTTAAAGGTTGTAAACTGTTGTGGCATTTATGTGCAGACCTTCATACATAGTATGTCTGATCTATACACAAAGACAAACTAATTTGTACCAAAACGCCTAATTATGTTGATTATTTATATGATTTCTTAATTAAACAAACTCATTTAGAGTTATATTGTGTCATAGAAATGAATGTTAAATTGCATTGTTATTATATAAAATTTCCTTGAGTAACCCATTTAAAACTTAACAAGTTTGAGGGAGATTAGCCACAGATGAATAAGATTTACGGACATGACTAAGTTAACTTTGTTGAGTCCTTGTGTCTCATCTGAAGAGCCAGGTTTTAATTTCACATAAAATAATTGTTTCTAAGCAAATCTTCACTAAAGCACTCAGCTTGCAGCTTAAAAAAGTACTTAAATCTGAGCTAATTCATTACAATTAATTAATTTAGAATGATGTAAAAAAGGTGCCATTGGGAACTTAAATAATCAAAGTTTAAATTGTTGACATTTTGCTTACCTTAAATGTTAAGCTGCGATGTAAAACTTAAAGTTTGAACATAAACAGCACATTGATATACCCACACAGTTTATGTCAGAAGCTTAGTAAACAAATATGTAATATGAACTGGTATGGATAAAAAATTCATAACAGGTTTCTTATGTATTGTGACAGTGAGTCATTATTTTCGCCTACATGTTACGTCAGAAAATCATTTAAATTTTTATTAATTACATAGAGGTGATGTCATGATCAAATAAAACAAGTTAATTTATTAGACTAGATGGTCAAAAATGATTATTTTACTTAAAACAGTGTTTTTTATTACTTTTTAATTTTTATACAATGGCGTTGTTAAGACAACTTAAAGTCTACGAAATCATTATTCTTAACTTCTAACAAAAAACAAGACGAAAGAACTTATAACAAAGTCGGCCATAACAAAATGTACGTAAAGTTAGTATTCCGACTTCGGTGTTTTAATAAGACTTAATTAGTGGTTTTGGCACAGTTAGGAAGGAGATTACATAAACCTTTCGCTTTATATTAAGCACTGTGTCAGTCGAATAGGTCATTGACCTTAGCGGAAACTCACACCATACATCTTTGTTCGTATTTTTTATACCGTTAGAATGTGGCAATATTCCCTTGAGATTACAATACATTTTTTTATCCTCATGACAGTTATATATTCGGCTTTGTATCCAACAAGTTAGAAGTATAGACTATAGAAGAACAGATGAGTTATTCCCGTTGTTTACATGTAACTCAACATTAAACTTATAAAGTCTTATATATGAATTTATTCTGAAATTAATCTTAAACAGCAAATATTTGTAAGACTACACCTACTAATCTATGTTACTAGCTCACTATGAGCTTGATTGCATAACGTTTTATTAAATCTTAACACAACGTACGTAATCGGGGCTTTGTAGAAACCATTATTTGTAGTGTTGCCCAAAATCGGTCTTGGTCTTGCAGTCTTGGTCTTGTTCTTGCATTTTCGCGAGACCAAGACCAAGACCGCCTTATTTTAGCAATACCAAGACCAAGACTGAAGCCTGCAAGACTTGAGCAAGACAATACTTAAGCCTGCAAGACTCTTGCGTCTTGCAGTTAAGACAAACTGAGATTTGGACGTTATTAAGTAGGTATTTGGTTTCATTCTCGATTTTGAGAGACGTTCCCCAGTATCAAAACCGTTGGTATCGTCATAACACTAAACGTGCCGATCGTCTGAAAGAACCCTGAAAGGTATTGTATTGATTAGGTAGGTAAGTACTTATTATATTTCAACAATTTATTAAGTAGGTAGCGTGTTAATACTCACAAATCTGTTACCATCTTATCCCATGTGATAAAATTTACCCAGAATAACTTTCTAGCAAAGATTATACCTTGTAGGTATCAACTAACCTATAATAATGTATTATGCTTGTTTATGTCTAATGTGCAGATCTAACGTTAGAATTCGTAGGTTGGTATGTGCTTAAAATTATAGCCAACAAAATTATATAAACATTATGTAAGTACCTACTTATGTTTCAAAGTTTATATTATTCTTCTATTTAGCAAAATTTAAAACTAACTGCGAGTCGAGTAGGTCTAGTAACAGTTTCTACGGCAGCCAATATTATGGTACAGACGCCAGCACATCAAGGTACTACAATCGGTCAAATTTCTTTAACAGATTTTCAACTTTATCGCTAAAGAATTAAGGTTCAAGGTTGATTGGGAAAATGTGACGTTCTGCGAATAAACTGTTGGTCGGTCGATGTATTATATACCTACTTATTTGATAATTTACCGACAAAGAGGCCGCGGTTTGCAACGAGTGTATCACAGCATTTGACACTGTTTGAGCGCCGCATTCGCCGACAAAGAGTCCGGACAGAGGCACACAAAATTGTTAATTATTTTGGTAGAGTTGGTACAGGAGGATAAAATTAAATGACCTTGAAGATGTCTCAGCAGTAGGTAGGTATAAATTGAATGCTCTGAGTTTCTTGTATTTAAATACATTCTCACACTGGCTCGAATTCGAACACTACAGCGTTTAAAGCTGTCGGGCGAGATGATAATTAATAACTAAGTAGGTATTGCATCTATTGAATTGAATTGTTAATATCGGTAAATGATAGATAGTGAGTGATATACCTAGGTACTAAAATGTGAGCAGCATAATTGAAAAGTGTTTATGCCATGTCAGTGCTTTCCATAAGTTTATTTTAAAAAAAGCTATTAAGTAAGATTAAGAGTTTACCATTCAATTACACACAACAAATTATTGAAAAACAAAAATTATGAAAAAGATATTTAGACTGAGTACTTAGGAAATTAGTAGAAAAAATATTCTATGGTGGATACCTAGTTATTAAAAAGTGGATAAACGTTGTGTTTACCTAATTTTATTTTTCTGTGCTAATGCCAACATTGACAACCCCACCAAAATAGGTAAAAATTTAGTCCGCTTCTAGACTTTGTGTTGCCGCCGTCGCTTTCATGTCAAAGGTCGCCGCCACTGCCCATGTTCTAAAGAATAAAATAAGTTTCCGGGTGCTCAGAACGGATAGATTATGTTGTCCTCGCAAGGAAGAATGTAGTCCTAAGGATAGGTAGATATTATAAAAATTGTTGTAAGTAATAAAAATATACATATTTTATATTATTGAAGTTATACTTCTTTAGGCGCGTTATGAAAAATTTATGAGAGTGAAATTTTACAATGCGCGAGCACCCGTGACACAAAATTAGGAGTGTGATTATAGCGTGCGCGAGCGAGATAGGAATAAGACAATCTACAAGTAAAAAGAAATAGAATATGCGTGAAGTTCGTATGCCAACAATTTTGAATGACCATAATGACATTTGTCATTTACCTTTTAAACAAATAAAGGAGTTTTAATTATTTTTTCAAAGAAATTTAGCGATGCTTTTTGAATTATAATCAGAAGTGATTTAAATTGAATATTTAAACCAATACTAATTAATATTTGTGAAAAAACTGTGCTCATCAACCTTCCTAAGTGCTTCAATACAATTGAGGTTAACTATCCGTATGTATTATTATTATTATCGAGTAATGTTTTGATTAAAAAATTAACCACATTGTTTAATCAAAACATGTAATTTTTCTGATTTTATCTAGCAAATATAAGGAAAAGAGACAAAAAACAATTGATGAATCAGTGTAACTGCACTAAATTGAATACAAAAAAAAGAGTTTTCATCTTATCGCTGTGAAACATCAAAAACTGGAGGTGGAACAAAGCCAAACTATTTTTAATATTGCCAAAGAAGTATAACTTCTTACGCGCGTACATAAGTACACGGACCCTTTTTTTATTATTACCTATTATACCTTTTTAAAGGACATTGCACTGCAAAATTGGAAGTGGGTGATTTTAACAAACTTGAAACGTGGAAAAGCTCCAAATATGAGCGACGTCATATTACTTTACGCATTTTGTTTTAAAATCACACACTTCCAAAAATCGAGATTTGCAGTGTCGATTTATCAACTTCTATCGTACCTACTCTAGTAGCGACTATTGTCTTCAGCGATGATTTACTAAATAAATAAAAATAATCGTCGTTATTTTTCTAAAGAATACAATTTTGTTGAAGTAGGTACCTTCATCGTTTCTTACTTACACATACTTTAACGACTGTACCTACGTAGCAAAGCGCGCCAGTCACGAGTACGACAAATTGCCTAAAAAATGTACCTACGCACACTGTAATGAAATCTGCTAATCTCAACACACACGCACTTCCTTATTTTAGCCGCATAGGTAGCATAGGATAGCCCGCCAAACTCAATTTTTTTTTGCAATTTGCAGGCTAGTGCTAGATTGTTGATTAAAATATTATTCGCGCTGTAAGACGTATGTAGTTACAGAGTCAACTACATACGTCTTACAGTGCGAATCATAATCTAAAATCTAAACTAACGTGTTCAATAAATAGCAATAGGCTAATAGGTATTTGCAAGTCTTGCGAGACTTGCGAGACTCTTGCTGCAAGATCAAGACCAAGACCAAGACTGAGAGCGCAATACCAAGATCAAGACCAGGTGTATTGTCGCAAGACCAATACCAAGACTGACCTAAGTCTCGTCTTGGTCTTGCATTTGGGCAACACTAATTATTTGGTATTTTAACTATTTAGTTCTAGGTCAGCGTAGTTAACTTACATTCGTAATAAGCGAACGATTTTAAGAATTTAAAAATATAATTATTGGGCCAAGTATAAAAGCAGGAGTGTTGGCCTTGTGGCTTGAGCGTGCGACTCTCATCCC